TTCACACTGTTTTTCATTTTATTTCAGATGAACTCCAGGCAGATCTCAGTAAGTTCTGCTTTCCTCCTGATGCATTTTCTGTTTTTTTGGTAGCAGATGTTCTAGTTCCTAGCTCCCCTACTTCTTGTTTTTTTTTTCTTCATATCAGAGGAAAGCTGTTTATCTGTCTGTGAAGTGATTCCTGGTATCCTTGGTTTTCTTATCCTGCCTGTGACCTGGTGTCCCCTTTCCTTGTTTTTGTCTAGGCACAAACATGTGGGTCCCCATCCCTGGGAGGCTAATTGGAAGCTAGTGGAACCCAGAACACTGCTCCCTGGGCTTTCTTAGATCTGGGGTCCTGTTTTCTACTTAGTGCTTGGAAACCTGTGTGTGATGGTGACCCCTGATCTGTCATGTATTCTGCATCTCATTTCAACCCTGGCTTGTACAACCTATTGTACAGGAAGACACCCATAAATTACTTGAGGTCTTCTGTAGGTATGGCAGCCAGGGAGATTTTAGGTTTAACCTTGGGAACTATCCTTGGCTCTTCCATGCAACCGATTACCCAAGGCACATAACCTTTATCTCAGCCCTACTAAGAAGATTCCTCTTGGTAGCTCTGGGGATGGGTGTAACCTGTTGGGAACCAGACTTTTTTTGGTGAAGAACATTCTATGGAAGGCCTTTGATGTTCCCCGATATAAAAAAAGCAAGCATGGGCTCCACTTTGCCTTTTTAGTATAGAAGCTCGATATGTGTGATAGGCTAACCTGTCCTGTCCCCTCTTTCTGAAAGTATTTTCTGTGTCCTGAAGTTTTTTTCGTTGTTTAATTTTTCTTAGCTTTTATTTTGCAGCCAGCCCATTCCACTGAGGGGAACCCCATTCCTATCACCGGTGCGGGACGGGTGTGAATATATTGTATTTTAGTCTTCAATACATCTAGCTGTTGGTCTGTACCTAGAAGCTTAAAGGCAGATACTAAGATATCATTAAATGATCTATATAAGGAAATGGAGTCATTGAGTTTAGGAATGTGGCCTTCTATTCATCTTCCAACAAATCACCATCCAGGGATTATGTTTTCTCTGTCTCCCAAAGGGACTAATCCAAGTGGGCTGCTCACCACAGGTGGGAATGTGATGGAGTGAACTAAGTACTTCCTGAAATAGTGGTTCTTATTCTCTAAAAACATTTCGCCTGTGAAAAGTTGGGCATTTGTACCCCAGAATTTACCTCACATTCCTGTCTTTAAATCACTCTTCATTTTTGGTAATTTCCCAAATGTCTTTTTAAATTTTTATTTTATTTTTTCATTTGTGGTACTGAGTTGTGAACTTAGTGCCTCCTGCATGCTAGGCAAGCCCTCTATCACGGGCTACATCCCCACCCCTTTCCCAAATATATCTTTGCCAGAAAAAGCCTGGATATAATAATGCCTTCTGATAATTATGGAATGATTTATATTTTATTCTCTAAAATCTTTTTACACATAGCATGATTTTTATCCTTAGCAGCAAAACTGAATAAAGATAGATAGAATATGGATTTTTATGAGTTTTGAGGCAGATGTTTTTCTGACAGAGAAAGCAGTGGGTCAGTGGTAGAAGTTGGCCTGTAAAGCAGCCATCTTGATTTGTGGTCCAGGGCATTTCCCACAACACCCTGCGGACCCTGCATACTGCAAGAGGCCATCTCCTTTCTGGTCTCTGTCCTTCTGTGGGTGATTTCATCTTTAAACTTGAGGGGAGGCCAGGGCAGGTACATTCATGCTGAGCAGGCTTGTTTTAGCTGTGATCTCACCACGGTGTGTTCCCTTTCAGCCTGGAGGAAGGCCCCCCTGTATGCAGGTAAGTGACTCTG